AATCTAATTTAGACATCTATATTTAAAATATAAATATAATTTACTTTTAAAAATTAATTCTCAATAGAATTTTGAACCTCTGTTATTTTAATAATTATGATAAATTATATTTTAACCTTAAAGTTGTTTTATATTTTAAAGGGGTCTTTGGAGATATATTGCCAAATAAACAGCATAAAATAAAATTTTGGTATCATTCTAATATTTCTATAGCTATTACCACAGAAATGTTTATTCTTTAATGCATTTTTTTTCTTTAAATGTATTCAACATTTACTGATAGGATTCAAACCTTAAAACATTTTGACTTGGTTGTTATGTTTAGGCAAAGCTCAAGGTTGAAATAATCATGATTGCCTAAATGCACCAAGTTATCTTCTGAAAGAAAGAGCTACAAAACTACAAGAACAATGAATCTCAAATATGGGCACCCATTATTAATGTCTTAATAACCTAACAACTTCTGCATAATTAACATGTAATTATTGAGCATAGATTTCCTCATTCCTTATTCCCTTTAGTATAATTCAGATCCTATGTATTTTCCCAAAGACAAAAACACTTAGAATTATGAGCATAAGGGATTAAACAGTGGTGCATGAACTCCTGTGGGAAAGTCCAAAAATTTCGGTTTCTAGCCATCTGTCAAAATACTGACTGAGGGCTCAAAATAAAAATGTCAAACTCTTTTCATCTAAACTATTTAATTCCTTAAAAAGTAAATATCCTCAATGAGTTAAAAAAGTCTTATTCCTTAAATTTAGAGACACCACTCAAACTATAAGTGCCAAAAATGCCACTGTATTTCATTTAAGTGCTATATTCACATGTTCTTATTCTTATTTAATATGCCTAGTAGTTTGGTATGAAATTAAAATATATCCATGTATTTAAATATGTCGGGCTTAAATTTCATTTTTGTAACAAACATCCAATTCCTTGATTCGAATTGTTTCTAAGTGAGGAATCACAAACTCAAATGTCAACAGAGCCCACCCAGGCTGTGACATAAATGTGCGAAGTGGGCATATGGTATTAGTAATGAATTGGAGAGCCTGTACTCAAGGCACAATTCTTTTCATGGAAGTTTGGGGGCCCACTTTTTAGGTGTTTCTAACTTCTCAAGAAAAGTTCTAGATTTTAATGTGCAATCTCTTAATAATTATCTGCAAGCAACTTATTCAGTATTTAAAAATACCTGTGTGATGAAAAGAAAGAATATCAGTTGACCAAATCTAGGCTACTGATGACCCTAGGGATGGATACCTGTGATAGATAATATTAGAGTCTTAGATACCCAAACTATTGATAGATATCCCTACTTTGCCATTTTGAAAATGCAAATATCTCTTAACTGGGGTATTTATTTTCATATTATTTTTATATTATATACATTTTTAATTGGTGTAAGTATATCTTCTCAAAGGGAGTAGATGCATAATATAATATTAATGACATGATAAAATACTAGAGCACTTTTAAGTTAGGTTATTTTGGTCTTCAGTTTGTTTTAAGGCACTTAGTAAAGATAGTTTGGCCAATACAAGTCATAAAATAATGTGGAGTACTCTCATTTATGGTATAAAAGCCAGATGATACTAAGGACAACATCCACTTAATGTCTTACTATGTGTTTTATTCAGAACAGACATCTTAATGAGTTTATAGTTCAAGTTTAAAAAAAATTTTCTAGTATAAATTACATAATAAACAGTCATTGACAGCTTATATATCTAGCACTCTAATGTATTATATATAGTATTTTAGGGAAACAAAATTTTGTTCACAAAAAGCTTATAGTTGTCACCTATAATTAAGTAAAAGATGGTCATGAATCATAAAATTATATAATAAACTCTGCAGACCATAAAATAGACTTAAAATTGTGTATATATAATGCACACATGTATATACATATATCTACAGATAAATTGACAGATCACTATGTAAATCAATAGGGAAAGCATTAAGTATATAACTATATGCATATTAATAGAGTGATAGATTACATAATTTAGACTGTTAGAGATTTTGCTTCATACCAAACCCTTCCTTCAACTTAAATCTCTCACTTCACACCCTGACCTTTGCCCAGTGCCATTCCCTGGGGGAAAATGGGACATCGTTTGAGCCAGTACCTTCTTTCTGGCCTCTTATACTGTCACAGTAAGTGGATAAAGATTTAATTATTACTTTCACTTTGGCTTGTTGTTTAAATTGACCACTCTGACATCTGGCAGCTCAGCTCTCCCCAGCTCAGCTTTTAACAGTAGCTTTTCCATGCTGTAATAGAAATAGCTTCTAAAAGTCACCCAAAGACTGATATTCTGACCCAGTACAGTTTTCTGCTTGCATGTTATCTTACTACTTATTATTTCTCTGATTTATCCACATTCTTGACAACTCCCCTTGCCCATCTCTGAAAGGTCTTACCATTTGAAATTCACTAGCTATAGAAAAGGCATGATGACTGGAGTCAGATTGTTTAGAAGTTTGACTCTGCTTACCTCATGTAGGAACAAGTCACATAGAATCTTTGAGCCTTAATTTCTCTGTCTTTATTATAAGAAGGATATAACATTACTAACACTAAGAATTCAAAAGAACATTTTGAGGATTAAATCTGAAATGATTGTTACAACCCTATTTGAAAATTCTGCAGTCATAACTTTTTACTAGACTTTACTCCTACTCCAATGACTTTGTTTGTTTTTTTTTATTACCCTCATTCCTTTTTTTTAATCTCATTACACAGAGGTTCTCTCCAAAATACATCTTTAGGCTTTTCTTATTTTGTCCTCCATTGTTTTCCTCTCAAGTTCTAATGAATGCAACATTTTATGTAAATATCTAAAAAATATAATATCTTAGTAAAAAATGGTCAAATTAGACAATCCAGAATCTAAGGATTGTTGCAATAGGAAAATCTCTACTAAACTCTACTAAAACTATTTGTCTTAATTTTAGTAAAGTTATTTTGAAATTACTTATTCTTTTCATAAAATATCATTTTACAAACAAATTTTCATGTATACTTTTCCTTTTTCCTCTATGTCTTTTTTTCTCCTTAGTATATTTCTCTGTCCTTTCTTTACAGCTGCTGCACAAAATGTCTGATCATGAGCAACATGGGTTTCAGAGATGCATATCCTCTTTCTGGCGTAGTAGTGATGATTCATCTCCTTGCCTAAATATTTCTTCCATTACTGTCACTCCTGTCAACTCGACTGATTCCAGACTGTCATTGGGACTGTTAATACCACCACCTTCTAAATGTGGCCTTCCCAAGCCAGTCAGTGAGAGCAGCATCCCAAGACCTCATGTAATTTGTTAAACAGAAAATTCTTTTTATAATCCCACTTATTTTTTTTTAATTCTGCCAAAATGTGCCATTTATAGTAACGAAAAAAATCAGGTATGTCTTGAAAAATGTGATGTGATCTGGGATCCTTGTGTGTCATTTTTGCTTGTTTCGATTACCTCATTTCAGAGGGTTTCAAGTAGGTTGTTGATGGTGTACAAATGGACAGAAAGACAAAATAGAAAAGACAGTTCAAAGGACCCTCAGATATGGCAGTTGGGAAATTAGATCATCAGCAATATTGGTAAAAATTGTTTTGATAGAATTCAATGCATAAAGAACAAAGTCTAGATTGATATGAGTTGAGGATCGAATGAAGTAAAAGTTAGGCAGGAAATGTAGTAGTATCCTATTTAAGGGGCTTAACTTTGAAGGAGAGTGAAAGAGAGATGAGAGGCTAGAGGAGTAAGGAGGAAAAGAGTGGGGACATTTTTGGTTGGTTGATTTTGTTTTTAACTATAATTGAGGTTGAATATCTTTATATTCTGAGAAAGAGGAGAGACATGGAAGCCAGAGGAGGTAAAAGGATGGGATGATTAGGAGAACAATATTCCTGAATAGGAGGAAAGTGCTGAGGGATAAAGTTGCCTTACAAGTCTTTGGATAGTATTTATGATTGATAAGTAAACAGATTGTCAAAGAAAGGGAGATGACAGCAATTTTCCTGCAAGAAAAAATGTACTAATAATCATTTTAATAGCAAATCCATCACTCTTTACACATGAGCCACTGTATTTTAATTCATTTCCTTCATCATCTGTGAATCAGAAAAATGAATGTATTTTGAGTACTCTAATTTTAATATCAACCACTCTAAACAATCTGTGTTTCTTATTCTTACAGGAAAAGTGAAATTTACTTCACTATCCCTTTCCAAAATGAGAATTCTCTTTTTTTAATAGATTGTGCGTGTGTGTGTGTGTGTGTGTGTGTGTGTGTGTGTATTTTTCCCCCTGAATGACAATCAAAGTGATTATTGTTTTATTCTTACATAATATCCTGGCCCAGACTGGTTCAGATAACTTAGTGATTTTGGTAATATATTTAGTGATTATAATTATTTCTTTTACAAGGTAGCTATTATAGAAAACTTAATGAAATCTTATCCAGGAATAAAAGGTGCTACAGTGACTTTATTGTTGGCTGTCATTCTATTTATCAGTAAAAGTTAAAATATACTCTTTAAATTTTTTAATTGTTGTCAATTACATTTGCATAGTTATATTTAAGAAGGTACATCACTTACATTCAATTATTTCTGTTTAGAACTTATAATCCTATGCAAAATACAGTACTGAAATCATGTCATATAATTTCTAACATTTTTAATTCTCTGACATAAATGGCAATTATTTTAGATATACAAAAAATCCAATAACATTTTTTATATCTATCTAGAATAATATCATCATCATGTTTGTCATCATCTTGGAGAACATTTTTGCAGATACTTTCTATTGCTTCCTTGCCAGTGACAATTTGCATAACTGGTTGAACCATATGAAATTGCCAGTATTTAACTACTTTGATTCAACTGAATTTATTGTTGTTTATATATGTTTTATAGATATATGAAATATTTAGCATTATAATGTGTCTACATGAAATAATACCCTAATTCATATTATCTTCATTGCAGGCAGGCAGTGTGACACCTAAGTCACCCTCCACTGACATCTTTGATATGATTCCATTTTCTCCAATATCACACCAATCTTCAATACCTACACGCAATGGCACACAGCCACCTCCAGTACCTAGTAGATCTACCGAGATTAGTAAGCTTTCTAACCAAATCAGTATTCTTTACTACATTTGTGTACTTTTAAATGTTTAATTAATACTTTATGTGAAATTATATATTTTAACAAGCTAACTAAAAATTTTAATTACTAAAAACATTTATATATATATATGTGCCAAATTCAGTTAATTATATTTTACTTCATAATTCAGAGTATACTACTAAAGACATCACTTTGTATTTGAAACTATGTTATGAAAAACAATATTTTGGTATAGGATTATTTACATAAAGATTTCATTATATTTTTATCATGTTTAGGGCTATATTTTTCATGTTTTAATAATTTAATCATTAAAAACAACTCCGATGGTAATTATTTTAATGATTTTTCACATGTTTAATAGAGCTCAGTTTAAATTTTTGGTTATCATGAGGTATATGGATAATCTTAGCTGGAGAAATATATAAACCTATGAAGTCCATGAATTTATATTAACCCTATATAAGTGTTTTTTCTTTGATATCTAAAATGTCAAAATGCATTCCTTTTATGATTTACCTTCTGAATATCTAGAAGAAACATAAGAGTCTCTTTTTGATGTATTAGAAAGCATCCAACAGATATTCATTGTCAATATTTTTTTTATTTTTAATTAGAGTTGATATTGAACATTATTTTATATTAGTTTCAAGTGTACAGGGTAGTAGTTAGACATTTATATAACTTACAAAGTGATCTCCTGGATTAGTCTAGTACCTACTTGGCACTAGACATAGTTATTACAATATTATTGACTATATTTCTTGTGCTGTATTTCACATTCCTGTGACTATTTTGTAACTACCATCATTGTTAATATCTTGACTGTATGTTGATCTGTGCCCTGACACAGAAACTGAAAGAATAGCTCCCAATGGCCATGATCAGTCATGATATCCAAAGGGAAACTGAAGAAGAGAGTTTTACACATGCTTTATTTCATCTTCTCTGGTTCACGTTAATACATTTTCAATATAACGCTGAAGTTTTAGCTTAAGGCTTTAAAGCATGTCAGGGCCTATAGTTGATTTGTTTCCCCCCTTGCAGAATTTAACAAAGTATATTGCACATGTTAAGGATTCATTAAGTTTTAGAGGACTAATTTGTGAATAGAAAGTAATAACATTAGAACTTTCTAAATCAATTTACAGAAATATTCATTACTTCATACATAAGTTGAAATATATATTTAAATTCCTCTGAATATATTTTGTGCCAATGCAAAATTAAAGAAATAATCTATAGCATACACATGACAGTGTGTTTTTACAAAGTACTGCCAATATCCTAATATCATAATTGAGTATTTTTGGTACTTATAAGTGTCCCACATCTCTTCCTTTACTGCTGTTTTTTACTTCCTTGGACTTCATCATTAATTTACTCATTCATTTATTGAATTCAATGGGAATTTGTTTAGCATATACACTAGACTTGGATTGCATTCTGGAACTTGAAATATAAATTAACAACGTGTTCACAATGAAGGATTTTAATCCAAGTCAAAATATAAATTGAGAAGAGTGAATAGATTTTAAGGTATTTAGAAGGAATAATCTATCAGGATGGTGACTGAGAGTTCAAAATAAATTATGGTTTGGATTTTAGATGAAATGTTCTTAATGGGGGAAACTAGAAGCAGAAAAGGGAAAAAGTAAAGAGTTCCGCTTTAGACATTAGTGAGTTTAAAATGCCTTTGGAAAATCTAGGCAGAGATGGTCAAATAGTTTTATTAGTTCATGGGATTTATTAATGAGAAAGAAACTGAAGTAACATTTTTAAATGTTTACCTTTCCTGAGTGCCAAAGTTTAAGAAATATAATAATATGTCAGTAGATATAAAGACTAGATAGATGATAGATAGATAGATAGAAAGATAGTCCTGGTTACCACTATACTATCTATACTATATCTATATTAATAATTAATAATTTAAGGGCAAATTGTTCAACTAATTTTAAATGTAAAATTTTCTAAAACTCTAATCTAGTGGGATTTTAGTAATAGGAATTTTTCTTTAAATAAAATCTAAAATGTATCCATTCATTTATTTTTCATTTTATACTAAATAAATAAAAGCAGAAATCTACAAGATTGCTGTTAAGTTTTTCTCCTTACTGTCTGAGAACCCTACTAGTTTACCAGAACATATTTTTGATCTTTGAATATGTGTCATACTTTAATTAATTGGTTTAATAGTATTTCCCCTGATTTGACTAAAATTTCGTGAGAGAAGGGACTTGGTCCTTTCTTCACTACTTTAATCCTAGCAAAAATTTCCTAGCAAAATGCATGGCCTATAATATGTATTCAATAAATATTAGTGGATAAAAGAAAGAATGACTGAATGAAGTATTACCTGTTAGTTTTTCATCTTTTACCTCTTACATTAGACTTGAATAATATTAATGTAACTACATAACCTTTTTCATTAGAAATTGACTTAATATGATTTTTTTTTTGTTATGAGTTTTAGATTTATCTGAGCTCTGTAATGCCAAAGAGCTCTGTAATGTTTATTCATCTACATGGTATTAATATCATAATATGTAATAGTAGTGATTTCTTGTGTGTGGGAGTCATGAACATTTGAGAATGTGATAAAAGTTAGGAAAACTCTTTACAGAAAAATACAATATACCCACTTACACAAAATTTCACATTACATTTCAGGAATGTCAAAGATCCCTTTAAGCCCATGTGAAATCTCTGGTGATTTTGAGTTCCAACTTGAGAAAAATCTATGTAATGAATATCTATTCCTCTCATTAGCACTCCCTTTTCTTCATTAATTCATTTCTTTTGACAAACATCTAACACATATAAAGCATTGTTCCATGTGCTTGCTGAATGGCGGTAACCAGGATACTCCTCTAAAGAAAAATCCCTCTCTCTAAAGTCTCATTTACTGCCTGAGCAGCATCAGACGGAGGAAATAAATTGTAAAAGCAATAATAAAACCCATAAGTTATATATAAGGTGGCAACCAATTCCCACTTGTTCAGGACAGTCCTGGCTTATTTCCTTTTGTTCTGGTTAACTATTGGTAGCACTCTTTTCACTCTTAAAGTATCTTTATTTGGATGATAAATTACATGTCCTTCTTATTTATACAATACTTACCAGCACCAGGAACTTTTAAGCATTTTACATTTATTAACTTCTTTAATATATGAGTCTGAACAACAACAAAAAAGGTTATAACTAGAGAAGCAAGAATAATAGGATTAAAAAGTGATATAGAGGAAATGGCAGAACTCGAGCAGCATAAATATTATTTCTCACCGAGCATTGAATTTAAAGAATATAGTATCCTGCAAAATGAAAGTCTTAACACATTATAAATTCCCATGCCCATATATAATTTAAAAGTTTTTTTGTATGTGTCAGTTAGGGCTTTATTTGAATTGATTCAGAGAAAAGAAATCTCAACCATTTTTAAAAACTTCTTAAATCATATAATAGGCCATAGTCTTATCAATTACAGCCATTAATTTTAACTTGGATACTTTTTTAGGTATAAAAAACAATTCATACTTTAAAATATATATACAGAGAGCTTTTGACACTCCATTACTGATATTTTTAAAAAGAAATTTGTTTCTGATGTAGGCACTTTTAAACAACCTGTCTCATTGTAATTATCTAGGAAGATGATATAATTTTATACTACATGAGATGGTGTTCCTAAATTTTTTCTGGCTAAAAGATGAGATTAAAGTACATGAACTATGAATTAAAGCTACTTACTCATCTAGTCAGTCCTCCATATTGCTTCACTATTGTGTTGCAAAGTCTCAATGATGAGTGACATTTAATTTTAGTATATTTGAATTGCTTCAATAAAATGTAGGTATTGTAATATATTGATTATCAAATACTCGATGAATTTGATATTAAAAAGTCTTAATTAAAGGCACAGAAACCTCTCTGGATAATAATTCTTTGTAACTAGTTTTTAATATCAAAAAATGGGTCTTTGTTTCCTTGTTGGTATTTAACTAGTCTAAACTCAGGAAACCCCAGTAAAAAGTATAAGTGTGGATAGGAGCTTATTTGGTCATACAAGTATTTCTTTATACTATTCTGCCTTTAAAATCTAACTTACCTCAACTCATATCTTGTCATTTCTTACTAAATTATATTCTTCCATTTAGAACGGGACCTGTTTGGAGCAGAACCTTTTGACCCATTTAACTGTGGAGCAGGAGATTTCCCTCCAGATATTCAATCAAAATTAGAAGAAATGCAGGTGACTATTTAACATATTGACCCATAAATAGTTTTTCTTTTTAATATAGGATGTTATATACCCACTACCCTTTCCTTGAATTATTATCACTATAAAAACATACTTAAAATAATTACTTTAAAATTATAATATACACTTAGTCTTAAAAATACTCAAACAGATGCTAAGGGTAAGGTTTTATTTTGTTTTGTTCTTCATGGTTCAATTTCAATGGCAATAAGGTGGCTCATTTTTTTATACAAAATTACATGGATTCTAATGTTTCATTATTTTGAAATCCAAGAATTAAAACCTCATTACATGAGGTTGATTAAGCTTTGGTCTCAGTTTTAACAATTATGAATTTCAAAATTGTGAATGGGTAGATGAAGGAAAATCTTTGTAAGACTAAAATCAGTCTCTCTTAAAAGAAGCATTGTAGCTATAGTTCATAACTCTGAGGCTCTTATTGAAAAAGCAGACACCCAGTGACAAGTTCTTTAGGAATGTAGTTCAGTTGGACTTTCATTTCTTTTTCTCCCTCTTTTTTATTTTTCAATTCTGAATTGTTCTGAAAGTTTGAAGACATTAGTTTTAAAAGCTTTGTAAGATGGACAATTATAAATAGTCTTATCAACAGTAAAGTTTTCTGTTTATATTTTCTCTTAACATTTTGGTTAAGTTATATCCTAGTTTTGATCAGAGACTACATATAGTAGAATGAAGGGAGAGACAAATTATATCAAGCTGATTGAGAAGAGGTAGAGGAGTCATTTCTATTTGTTAGGCCTCTCTGTGCTTCATTTACTGGAAAAAAAGAAAAATTAATGGTTGTATTCTGATCTTCTAACACTGGTAAAACACTCCTTCCTAAAAAGGTAATATAAATACTCTGCTGCTCATTTTGGACTGTAGCCATGAAGCAGTCTTATTTTCTAGTTATAATATGATTTTTCTTATTGTTCTAGATTTAGTAATGCCTGCCCTTTAAAAGTTAGATTATTTAGCATATGCCTTGAGATTTTCAAAGAATATGTTCAAATAATATTTCTCCTGATGGGTAATTCATAATTCCTTTTCACATAAAAAAATTATTTTAAATTCTTAATATTGATTTAAGTTGTTATGATAGCATTTCTTAGATATTTACAGCAAATTATAAACAACTTATCCTTGAAGCTCTTATACAAATATTAATTCAAACATCACAAATTAAATAAAAGCAAAATTACAACACCTAATAAAATTCAGATTGAGAACTTTAATATAACAGGATGGATGATTTTATTTGTTTGAAACTAAAACCACTAATATCAAACTTCTTTTGATTTCAGCATGTATTCTGCTTGATAGCACAATTTTTCCATCCCTTTGCTATATTTCAAATACTGTGAAACTTGCACTCAAAGAGTGCATGATAATTTAATGGGAATGCTTTATTTTGTACATATGAAATCAATCACTTTTGTTTTTTTTTAGTTTTTACCAATTAGACTTGTTCTACTTAGGACTAATCCTTTTGTAAGGACAAATGCAAATATGGGCACTGATGTTCTCAAGTGTTATACAAATCATAAATAGTACTTTTCTATTAATGTTTTTTAGATTTTCACAAAATAAAAATTTTTTTCATAGATTTTTGAAGATAAGCCTACATCTTTAGATTTTTGTAGGAACCCACTTTGAGAAACACTGTATTGGAATAATTTAGTGATATGTTAGTCAAATAATGTTAAGCTGTGTATTTTTGCTTTTATTTTAGTTAGTGCCATTTCTAATATTTTCTCAATGTCTTCTTTATTCTTTTTTGCTTTCATGGTGGGTAGCGCCAGAGATGGTTGGTATAATATTTTCATAAAAATTTTAAACAAACTATAACTTCTCAAAGCTAAAACCTTAATATTTGCATGTTTTAACAAATATTCAAGCAGCAGTTTCATGTGGATGTGTCTGATTATTAGTTGTGTTTAAAGAAATTTCATAACCCATATTTTAAAGTTATTTTTTCAAGTGGTCATTGTTGCATTGTTTACCTCATTGCTTGACTGTTTCTTTGAGTCTAGGATTTACTTGCAAGGTCACTTTAACTAAAGTAAAATAATATTTTTATCTAAAGTCTTTGATGGCTTTTGTTATTAATCTTGTTAGCCTAATTAATCTCCTGCACACATCTAGCTATTTTTAACTTTGCATATAGTATAAAAACTTTACATAGTCTAATGGGTTATATAAACCAGAGTTAATAGGCTTAGTGAGATTTTTAGTTTTCATTTTTCATTTACAGAGGAAATCACAGAAATATCTCCTACACATACAATTTAAGCAGACATATTAAGCCATATTTTATTATGAATTGTTAGAAAATTAGATATTTATTTGAAATCAATAAATTAGTTTTTTCATTTGACATAATTTAAACTTCTGGGTATATGTCACCAACAAGAAAAACAGTGTAATAGTATTAATAACCCAGAAGTGTACCTTGTAAGTTACAATAACTTTTAAAATATTAAAAATAAAGCATAGCAATCAATGAACAGTGAAAGAATTATGCATTAAGTGGTGTTAAGTCAATTGGACAATAATTTTGGAGAAAAATCAGTGTACAGCTGAAACTTACAGCAAATATTCAAATAAATTTCAGAAGCATTAGGCAGTTTAAATTATTTGAAATGTAACTGAATATTTACCAGACTTGTTAAGGGCATATTTTATATAGACATATAGTCTTTTATAGAAAAACTTCTAAAGTTGTTTTTAATTTTCTCTACAAAAATATATAAATATATCACATATACATAATTAAAGTAAGTAGACAAATGATTAAGAAACTAAATAATCAACAGATAAATTTAAAAAAACAATAGTTCACAACAGAAGATCGCAAGTCACTAATATACATGTACACATGTTTAGTCTAATCAGAGAAAAGATAGAAATTGAGTAAAGAACTATAAATGCTTTTTATCTAGCCAATTATAAGTATTATTTTCTTATTATCAGTACTAGTACAAGTGTGATGTAACAAGCACTCTAAATCATTGCTGTGCCAGGGTCCGTTCTTTTGGAGGGTAATTTGTTATTTATACTTGCATTTCTATTTTTCATCAAAAACTAATACAATGTATTCTGAGCAGAAAATAATTTTAAATGTGAAAAATCTTTACAAAAAAATCCTGTCAACCTTATTAGTAATTGTAAAATACTGGAAACAATTAAATCATATTAAAAACTAATAGAACATTATATAGTCATTAAATTAGTTTTATGGGGACTCAAAATAATATAGAAAATTTATTCTACTATGACTAAAAATAGGAACATATATAATATATATAATATATTAAATGGAAAGTTATGTAAATATGGTTATTTATATTATCAAAATTATTTTAAAAATTTATAGATAGATCAACATGTTCACAATTTTTACATATGAGTGGTTTTTCCTTTCTTGATATGCTTTTCTCCCTATTTCAAACTAAGAAAATGCAACTGGGCAACATATTTCACAAAAAACATATTAATAATATATTAATAATAAAATCATTTTTGTGTGATTTTAGTTTATGATAATTTTCATCACTATATAAATTAAGCCTCCTTTTCATCTAAAAGTTTAAAAATCCAGAAGGTATGGAAATCTTAAATTAAGAGTTTATTAAATCTTGATTTATGAAGTGAGACCTAGGAGAGAAGGTCAGAAAAATGTATGGGAAATTTTATCTTAGGAGATAAGAAAACAAGGTGCCATATAACAATGTGTCTGTTGATTGGGATGATTAATAATCTAAAGATCCTTTAAAATCACCATGGCAATAACATTATAAGTGATATATGAACTTTTTTTTTTGTATTGAAATAATGATTGAGCCTTTTTTTTTACTTCGATTTACTATTCAGCCTTTCAAATACTGGTAACACATTGATAAATAGTATTTTCAGGGTCATCGATGTGATACTGGTTTAATTTCAGAATGAACTGACAAAATGTAAAAAACACTGTGATTTATCAAACCTTTCCATAGGTAATATATATCCTATCATCTATCTGTCTACCTAACCTATATCTATCTATCTATCTATCTATCTATCTATCTATCTATCTATCTAGTATCTATCTATCTATCTATCTATCTATCTATCTATCTATCATCTATCATTTATCTATTGTCTGTCATTTATCATCTAATATACACCACTAGATGACATAGTACACAGATCTCTCTCTTTCTCTCTCATCAACATGTTCACAATTTTTACATATGAGTGGTTTTTCTCTGAGAGAGAAAGAGAAAGAGAGACTGTCACACTGCTTCTAAACAAGAAAACCTAAAATGTGGCCTCTAATTCATTTCCATTGATCAATTTCAATGGACTTCATCTCTTTGTAGGCCATTGTACAAAGATTAAAAGCAAACGTAGAGATGAGGGAGTTGGTAAGACTGGAGATAGCCCATTGTTCAATTATCTATCATATGCAAAAAAGAAGAGAGCTTTTTTTGCTGTTAACTTTTAATTCAAAATTTTAGGGATAAAAAACAAAAACAACCTTTCACAGTAATTGTGTACTTGCTCTCAATAAATCAAAGGCAACTTAATTTCCAAAAACATCTAAAACATGCTAGGCGTAGTGGAATTCAAAGCAAAACTTGCAGCTACAAGCAACCATAGGACTATTAAAGGAAGCTTTCTCCATGGCAAAGTGGTCTACAGTTCTGTGTTTCACGTAGAATATGGCATTGCGTTTACTAAACATATGTTACCAGACTCTGGATAGTGGTAACAGAAAGAAAAGGTAAAAACTAGCAGGTTATCTTGAACTGTTCATCAACTCAAAGTCTAACTATCTTACTTTTATTTAAATATGACATATTTAAATGAATATCAATCTTTAAAGCCAAGAGGATTTAAGAGTGACGTATAGAGTTTACTGAAAAATATTTGTCTTGAAACTGCTTACTTCCATATATTTCTATTTTATTTTATCTCTCATGCATGCTAACCTCACATAAATTTAAAACAATTAAAATGCTAATGGGTATAAAGATCTGCCTGGGGCATACACCTGTATAAAAAATTTACAAGCCAACATTTGACATTTAGTATTTTTTAGTTAATCAAAGCATGAAGATTGCAACCTCTGTTCATAGACTCTTTGATTTACTGATTTTTATTTTTTTAAATATTTTGCTATGAGCTTTTTCTATTTTAATGATTTTACTCTGTTTCACAGGAGGGGTTCAAAATGGGACTAACTCTTGAAGGCACAGTATTTTGTCTCGACCCATTAGACAGCAGGTGCTGATGTCAAGAACAAGAGATCCTGACTCGTGTTAAATTTATTTAATCTACTTATGTATCATTTATTATTACTTTATGACAGGTATTATACATGTGCCAATATATATTTTTAATATCTTCACTTTCCGAAAATTATTTTAGTAAAATTTCCTCATGCATTTACTATTGATCTGTAACATTTTATTTTAAAAACAACTCACTGTAAAGTAAAGCATACTTCTATGTTCTTTTCTGTTTCTGTTGTAGAAGAACTTGTAATCAAAAGACAAATTATCCAAATATCTGCCTTGTGTCTGAGTTAAATAGTAAACATCTTGAAATTTGTGTCATATTCAAGCTGCTAGTTTATGTTGATTTCTCAAAAGCCATACCTTAATGATACCTTTCAAAGTCCTAAAGAGATATACCAATACCAAACTAAATACTATATTCAAAATAATAAACATGTTACTATTCATTAAACAGATATCATTTTATGTCTGAAATGTTGTTCATAGAATTGAGAAAATGTAAACTTTGCTATAATGCCACCACGTCATTTTTAGCAGGTGAAATAAAAGTATAAATTCCAATAATAATTAAATGAAATGTATTTAGAGTATTAGTAAATGCAAGATAATATTGTTATTGTCAGTTATACTCTAAATATTTTATATCATGAATAAATATTGTGAGGAAAATTAAAATTTGCTGTTTACAAAATGCTTAAAATTTAATTTCTAATGAGATGTTACATTATTAAATGTATAAACATCATCTAATCTGATGTTTCCTAAAAGAACATTTAGAACATATACAATGTCTGTTACCCATGTTTACTTTACCAATTATATTTTTTCTCAAAATAATTGAGATGCCCCATTGATACTTTAAAATCTATGGATTCTATTAGTTGTGAATCAATATTATTTAGCAAATTAATTTTTTTGTTGTAATCAAAGTTAGAATCTCATTTTCCACAAAAGTCAAGTTGCTGCTCTATTTATCTTTTAACATAAAAAAAAGTTTATGCTCAAAATTTATATTTGGTTCATCTCATTTAAGAAAAAATAAATTAATGAAAATATTTGAGTTTAGACTAGGAGTAGATCTCAAAAATAGATTTTTTTTCTTTTTTTTTTTACTTATGGGAATTTTCTTCAAATGCTAAAGGTACATTACCAGTAGGAAAAAAGTCAAATAGCTTATGTAATATTATATTTGTATGTATTTCCATATGTTCTATGGTATATATAGCCTTGTTTGTTGTCTGTTATCTGCTAAGTTGTACCTTAATTAGAGGGTAGCATATGTTTCATAAAAAAGAGTCTTTATAATTTTGTTTGTCATATAGTATTTTGGAATTTGTATAATGAGGATGTTTAGAAGCCATATCAATGGCTTTTTTTAACAGATAGAATTTGTATTTTTATTGTACTTTAAAAAGCTTTATGTAATAGGTATATATTTAGTGGCCATTTATTATCAATGGTAATACAATAGAGTACTGAGATGATATTTGCACATTTAAATGTTACTTTACCAATTTTTAATGGTAAATCAATTCTGCTACTGGCATGATTAAATAATACATAATTGGTCATTAATTATGGACATTTATTTCACCAGTGCATTTTTATGGAAATCCAGTTGAAAATTGTATTTCTATGTAAACTCAATGATATGTTTGATTTTGCTGAGAATAAATGATTTTAAATAAAATTAAATTGTATAATTTACTCAGTAAATAATTTCTGATTAACTTAGACATATTCTGAAGCTAATTATGTGCCAGATTTTTCTGGTCATAAATTGGAGCCAAAAGAAAGACAGAAAGAGAGAGAAAAAGAGAGAAAGAGAGAGAAAAAGAGAGAAAGAGAGAGAAAAAGAGTAAAAGAAAAGACTTTAACTTCACTTCTTACAGCCCACACACATTTTAGCTTTATGAGCAAATATCATTCAGTTGTGAAAACAATGGACTTGATCCTGCTGGTGAGAGAGGTCATAGTTTGGTTCTTTTCACCAGAAGCATCTGGTGCAATAACTGTGTTATGTAAATATACCTTTTCAAAACTGAGAGCCTTTTTAGCCTAGTAATGATACAAATCATGTCTTGGCTGATAGTCTTAAAAAGGAAGACTTGATAACAGGATTCGAGTCACGGCTAATTGGAATATCATGAAAAAGTTTTTAACCTGCCCATAAAAAAAAGACACATAGGACTCACATTTACTGCCTTTGCACACCAATGAATAACTCATCAATCCATTCAAAAAAATTATTTATTACTCTATGTGAATAACATGTGTTATGTGGGTAAGAAAACGTCTAGTCGTTTTGCTAACAGACATTGTTAAATTGAAGATGACAGGATCCCTGTCTTCAGTTAGTTTATTGTCGGAAAAGAAAAGTAAGGCAAATACATGAATTAATAAATGAAAACCAATATGTATTAAAGTAATTTGTGAACCAAAAACTTCCCCAAGAACATTTATATTTAACCATTTTAAGTTTGGGTACATACCACTGGCTGGCGTAATGTTCATTATTCAGTGTGAAGCCTGTCAAGACAGGCAAATAACAATAATTTTCTTCATCTTTTGTTTCTTGTTTTTTGGATTTGAATTTTTCAAAACATTTTAGTCACATTATAGTAATTCATCTTCAAATAGAATTTCTGATAGATTTTGTGTTATTGTTTTTCTAAATACTGACCTTTTTACTTTTTTAGATGTTACTTAACATAACTATGAGGAAAAAAAAGGCTGTTAATATTTTTCTCTTCCAGTTTTTCCGTATATACTTCCAAATTCAATATTTATTCATGATTTGGGATTTCAGCCTCTGTTAAATTACTTGAAGAATCTTGGACTCAATTTTGACAACTGAATCTCCGACTCCACGTAAACTACACCCTTTAAAGGACACTAACGCGCTGTTGGGATGAGCAGGGCTAATATTGCCCTCAGACTCTTCAGTCTCACGCAAGGAGGGCCTAACTTAAGTGTTCTCTCCTTCCTAGATAACCTCAGACATTTCTCAAGAACTTCCTCCTCCAATGCCCATCTCGTAAATTTGACACAAACCTTAATTCTCATACACTTGTCCCATGTCTTGATCTCATGTTAAAGTCCAAATGTAACCCGCTTCTAGAAATCCCTCCTTTAAAATATATTTTGTCTGGAATGCATTCAAAGTGGGATGTCCTTACTCTAATGAGGAGACCACCTCTTAAAAATAATTTATGGTTTTCCATTGTTTCCCTTTCAAGTGAATTTTTAAAAATATGCATATTTAAAACAAAAGATTTGACCTTTTCCTGGATTCACTTGTTTTCATTCTAGTTCTAAGACACACTACTTCAATGTCATAGTTAAATAATATAGAAAATATGGCATAATTAAGAAGGGGTTGAGGTTAAAGTCTCATTTCACTTTTTTTTGACATTACATGATAAATTGAAATGGCTGATTTTTTTTTTCCTATATCACTAACATTGGATTTTGTGTCAGTTACTATCATAACAGTATAACTAAAAATCTGCAAAAACTGATCTTATTTACCTTAGCCACATTTTTGGCATTCATTCAGACGCACACTCAAAGTTAATTGAGCCAAGCTTTTCTAGTTTGCAAGCAACTCTATCTACAGGTGCTTTGGAACATGCATTCAGGCTTTTAAATGTTGCTTTCATTAAACGAAAGCTAGGTGGAAGCTGTAAGAGTTACTTTCTTAAAAGGATTCCCCAGTATACACTGGGCCTAATTAAATTCTCTGTAGAAGGACATTCTGAAATCCCACAGAATTTTCTTTGTAAATTTGCCTTTTATCAACTTATCATTATTAATGTATTTTTTTCAAAAATCCATAAAATACTGTCTTGTAAACATTTAAAAAATATTTTTAATGGTGTCTTAAAAAAAAAAAAACTTTTTTATTTATTATCCAAAAATCTTGAGGGAAAGATTGTCTTGACATTTTTGTATCCTCTTTGGTGCCAATCACAACATTTATCCATAAGCGTTCAGTAAAAGGTTGACTAATTCCCATAGCATGCTTCTTGCTAATGATGTGAACTAAAACTTTTTATGCTCTCTGTGAAAGAAAAGAACATGCCCTCAAAGTAAATGTTAGAAGATAATCACTTTGTCTTCTCTGATGAAATCTTTACCATTATTTTAACTTTTATCATACTGCAGCAATAACTTGCTAAATAAAGATCTTCGCATTCTCTAAGAGCATCTGTCAACCACCATAGTATTATAGACTAAGGAAATCTAGCCCAACTGAGGCAAGGAAAAACAAATGATCCTTGAGCTTTAAAGAGGCAGTGAGATTCAAAAATGAATGTTGTATAATTAAGGGAAATTTTTTGTACTCAAAGGGGTGGAAAACTATTTGTTAAGCATGTGTATAAAAGGATGATAGCTAAAGATTCAAACAGTATCTTTCCTTGAATCTCATATTGTGTTCACACAGTTTACATTGGTTTTAAATATTTTTAAGTTCATTTATTTGTCCTTAACTTTTTATTGTCCTCTTACTTCAAATGACATTTTACAAGAACATTTTGGGCCCCTTCCCAGTTGACTACTCTCTCCCCTCAGTCTGGCCAGGCTGCTATGTTCTAGTCTGTTCCAAAGGTCACTTGTTCCAGTTGAAATAGCTGTCTGGATGGCCTGGAAATAATCCAAATACTGGTTCTTTCCTGCAAAGAAAGCAAAGAAAGATGTTTGTGTCTTGGCTACATTTTAAAAGAAAAAAATAAAAGAACTTTATGGCTAAATCAACTAATATTTGATAAAAATAATATAACTCTAAGACTAACTTAAAATTGTTATTTTTCAGTGCTCTATGTCATTATGCTTTTTTATATACTTTTAAAAATCAGCTGTTTACTATCAGTATGAGAAAATAATTGGTATTAAATAGCTAAGTATATATACAAAGTATAAGCAAAGTAATTTTGGCAAAGAGTCAGCATACACTAATTTCTCACACATATGCACAATTCATTTAGCTATTTAGTTCTTTATTTTATTCTTGCTATCTGCTTTAATTAAAAAAACAAATAACTTGTACTAGACAGGGAACGGGAGGAGATAGGCAGTCAGAGGATAGTCATAAATATTCAGAGATATCAACTAACCCACACTTGGCTAACTGCGTGCATGGATATTTGACCTGTTCATTTTTTCAGACAATTTGGACCATTTGCAGGCTAGGATAGGGAGTAGTAAGTATGATGCGATTATGTAAAAAGCTGTCTCTACAGTGATTCCTCTTTAATGTCTCCTAGTTCTTTGGTAATGCCATCTTTTCTACATAAAAGGAATTAAATAGGAAAATACCTGAAGATAAACTGACCACTAGTTTCATGACTTCCTGCCATCAGTGGGAATTAGAAAAATAAATATTACTTTCTTAGAATCACTTAAGTTTAAAATTTCTAAACCATACCTTACTTGAACGTTTAAGTAATTTTTTAAAAGATTATTTATATAAACTACATTTGCTTTAGAACATCTAAGTTTGATCTAAAGGGAACCACTGAACTATGATTTAAAACTTCATACTTTGATGTTACCATTACAGCTTTAGTCTGATCTTTGACTTGGGGAAAGTCATTTAATAGGGTTCATGAAGTTCATGAACATTATCTATTCTTGGCATAAAAGAGAAGAAAGTCCTCTAATTAAACCAAAGATTTTTTTTTTAATTGTCATAGAAACTACATAATTAATCTTTTATTTATATACTAATTATAAACAAATATTGACTCAGTGGTTCCTAGAGAAATAGTGCATCTAGCTGGCAATAGTCCTGTTAAAGAGGACAGCAAACACCACAAAACTATCCTGGCCTTGTGTCTATTTATTATCTAAAAATTTGTATGTAAAATTTTGTCCTTTGATAATGAAGTTGGACACAAGGCAAAAGCATGATTCTAAGATTCTCTTCTTTCTCAACATTTCCTGTTCCTAATGATACTTCGAAAGACCTCAGAGTATATTTGCACTGGAGAAATGGGGCCTATGCTTCTCAAAAGTATTAATGGTTTGCCACATTTTAAAAATAACTTCAAGATAAACAATGCATGCTTCAAAAGAATTCAGAGGCATCCTTCTTTCCAAATAAATATTAAATCCTGAAAATACCAGCAAAGAAATGCTGAAATGTATAAGATAATACTGTATTGAAATATCAAAATGCAAGTGTCCCTAAATATGTTTATATGGAGAGAAAATTTTAGATTCACAGAAAATTTGTTATATTTTTGGATTTTAGTGGATCCTGCTTGTCTGTGCTTAAATTTTATAATGAAGCTTCATGTGAGAATGTGAATATTAGACTTTCTCGAAATGTATTCAAATAAAACTTGAATTTGACATATGTTGAGTTATGCTCATTTGTAAAGCTTTTTTGGTAAATCTTATCTCATTGCTGTACCTATAAAGAAAAGAAAACACAGAAAACATAAAGAGCTCCAGCACACCTGTTAAATCTTCCAAAGTCAACAATTATATTTCTCATCACTCTGTTTCCCTTCCTTAAGCCTTAATCATAGAGCCAAAACTAAAGGAAACAGCTGTCCTTGAAAACCACATGAGGCTCAAGTATTTATTTCTGCTACGCAAATTGATCAAATTTCTACACACCTTTAAAAGATACTTTCCAAAAAAAAAAAAAAAAAGAGCTAAAGCAGTACTTCTTTCTGAACAGTTTTTTTTTTAAGAAG